CCAAGGCACTCTCAGCACTTTCCTCCAGCAAGTGCTGGAGCTCAGGAAGGGAGCTCATGCTAGAGGAAAGTGGGAGCTCATGCTGGAGGAAACTAGAGGGAGCTCATGCTGGAGGAAAGTGCTGGAGGAAAGTTATGTCTGTACGTCATGTAAAATAACTTTTCTGTTTGGGCACATTTCTTTAAATAGACACCAAAAATTCAAGGATTAAAAGAGGTGGGGATGGCATAATATTCCTGAAATATTCTCCTTACTGAAGATGAACAACTACAAACGGTGAAGGCCTGGTGATACTAAACCAGATAGTTATTAAACCACACAGATATATTGGCTAATCTTACCAAAGCTTTATTAGTTTGGTATTATTTAATGCACAGCAGCAGGAAACTGCAGGAAGAAGAGACTCAAGTGAGTCAAGTACAATTGCGATTATCAAAGAGGAAAATCAAGCATTGTATCAAGCTGGTTGTCTGGTCTCATGGCGTCCTTCTCTTGATGAACAGTGCAAGCATCTTTTCCTTAAAGCAATACGGCAGCCAGCAGGGTTCCACTCACAGTACTACTCGCTGTGGCTGATGCTGATAGTCCGGCAGCGCCTGGGTGGAAAGAAGACCAAGGAAGACATGGGTGAGATGGATAAAGGGACCGCAGGTGCATTGATGCCAAGTGCACATCACCCCTCCAAAAATAGCAGACCTACCAATGGACTGAAGAACGGCCACAAGGCTACCGGCAGCAACTCCTCCCCCACCAGCGGCAGCGGCACTTGACATCATTCCTGCTGCCACCGATCCCGCCGTGATCCCTGCGGCAGTGAAGCCAAGAACTCCAAGTGCCAACGGCACCCCAATGGTGGCACCACCTGTACAAAAAGAACATATTAATAATCTCTGTGATGTAGGTGTTTCCAAGGTACTCCTGGTCAGTTGCAAGGCCGAACAGGGCATAGGGTTACAACCTGTGTTGGAAGGGGTTACACTCCCCCTGAAGACGCAAGTTCGCAGCTTGGGTGTGATCTTGGACTCATCGCTGAGAGTGGAACCTCAGGTTTCAGCGGTGACCAGGGGAGCATTCGCACAGTTAAAACTTGTGCTCCAGCTGCGCCCATACCTTGGGAAGTCTGACTTGGCCACGGTAGTCCACGCTCTGGTTATATCCCGTATAGACTACTGCAACGCTCTCTACGTGGGGTTGCCTTTGAAGACTGCTCGGAAGCTTCAAATGGTCCAACGCTCGGTAGCCAGGATGCTAACAGGAGTGGCACTCAGAGAGCATACAACTCCTCTGTTGCGCCAGCTCCACTGGCTGCCAATTTGCTACCGGGCACAATTCAAAGTGCTGGCTTTAGCCTATAAAGCCCTAAACGGTTCTGGCCCGACTTACCTGTCCGAACGCATCTCCTCCTATGAACCAGCTAGGACATTAAGATCATCTGGGGAGGCCCTGCTCTCGGTCCCGCCGGCATCACAGGCATGCCTGGGGGGACGGGAGACAGGGCCTTCTCAGTGGTGGCCCCTCGGCTGTGGAACACCCTTCCTACAGATATTAAGATCGGCCCCCTCCCTATTGGCATTTCGGAGGAAAGTGAAGACCTGGTTGTTCGAACAGGCATTCGATTAGGCAGTGTAATTGATTATAGGAACACGGAATAACGGATGATGAGATTGGATTCTGATTCTATTGATGAGACGTGAATGATTTGTCATATTGATGTTTAATTGTTGTTATGCTATTGTTTTTAAATGCTCCAATGGTTTTGTAATGTGTGTATTGAAATTGCTGTTGTTAACCGCTTTGAGTCGCCTAAGGGCTGAGAAAAGCGGTATATAAATGAAGTAAATAATAATAAATATCACATTGAAACAGGGAAGTGTTTGGTAGAGTAGAGCTCAATCATACTCAGTTTTGAAATGAAATGGATGAGTTCTCTACCTTCATCACACTGTTAAATGTATCAGTGTTACTCAGTTGTGCCCAGCATTCTTTCCATTGATTTTGCCATCACACTGTAACTGCTAGGCACCGCCTACCATCCCTCCCCTGTGTTCTTTGTGGGGGGAAAATCTCCTCTCTTTGACATGTCAGCTGTTACGTGTCTTCAATTCCAGAAGCAGGGAAGGAGGGAAAGTGGTGATGCACTCTCTCTCTCAGCTGCCTCACAGAGAAGGGTGTGGACCTTGGAAAACTATAACTCCCAGGACTGCATAGTATGGTGCTATGGTATTTAAAGTAAGGTACAGCTGCCTTCATTTCACAGTGTAGATGCACCCAGAGAACGGTATGGACCTTGGAAAACTATAACTTCCAGGACTGCATAGTATGGTGCTATGGTATTTAAAGTAAGGTACAGCAGCCTTCATTTCACAGTGTAGATGCACCCAGAGAAGGGTATGGACCTTGGAAAACTATAACTCTCAGGACTGCATAGTATGGAGCCTTGTGTGACAGGACTGAAGACCAAATGATTGCAGGTTCAAATCCAGGGAGAGCACAGATGAGTTCCCTCTGTCAGCTCCAGCTCCCCATGCAGGGACATGAGAGAAGCCTCCCCAAGGATGATAAAACATCAAAACACCCAGGAATCCCCTGGGCAGCGTCCTTGCAGACGGCCAATTTTCTCACACCAGAAGTGACTTGCAGTTTCTCAAGTCGCTCATGACAAGAAAAAAAAAGTATGGAAGCATGGTATTTAAAGTAAGGCCAAGCTGTCTTCATTTCACAGTGTAGATGCACTCGGAGAAGGGTATGGGCCTTGGGAAACTATAACTCCCAGGAGGACTCAATCACATGGAGCCATGGCAAAATGCAGGGTGCAAGGGCATTCATTCTATACTGTAAATGAACCAAGAGAAGGGTGCATTTACCTTGGAAAACTATGATTCCCAGGACTGCACAGCATGGAGACATGGCATAATAATAATAATAATAATAATAATAATAATAATAATAATAATAATAATGACATTTAAAGTAAAACCTCAGTGAGCAAAAGGTAATGGCAGAACTTTCTCTAACCAGGGTACTTTTGGCTCCTCCCACAATTTCCCCTCCCGCAAATTGGGGAAACGTTTCATTTTAAACCTGAGAGCAACAAATACCATCACATTATAGAATAGGCCAAACATCCAGATCATTACCAAAAATCCACTTCCCCACCACCTCCTGAAACGTTTGAAAAGAAAGCTGGCCCCCACGCTTAAAATACACAAAGAATGCTCTAGCCTACATTCAGAGGCGGCCCTAGGTAATTTTCAACGGTAAGCAAACAGTATTTTGGCGCCCCCCCCCCCAACCAATCATTGATATATATTTTCTGTTCATCATGGGAGTTCTGTGTGCCATATTTGGTTCAATTCCATCATTGGTGGAGTTCAGAATGCTCTTTGATTGTAGGTGAACTATACATCCCAGTAAGTACACTTGCCGCACTTGCTCCCTTGCCTGGCCCGCTTTGGGTCCAGAGGCGTGCCTGAAGCACCCAAAGTCACCTCTTCTCCTGACTTTCTCCTCAGCCATTGGGACCAAGAGAGAGAGAGAGAGAGAGAGGTGGAGATGCCCACCTTTCCTGAAGGTAGGCGCAAAAACAAAGGAGGGAGCGGAGGTGGGAGATACCTCCCAGCCGGAGGGGCTCTCTCTCTCTCTCTCTTGGTCCCAATGGCTGAAGAGAAAGTCAGGAGAAGAGGCGACTTTTGGTGCGCACGCTGGGGTCTTCAGACACGCCTCTGGACCCGAAGCGGGCCAGGCGCAGCGGCTCCGCCCCTTGGCCCACCCGCGGATTGGGGAGAGGAGAGGAGGCGGGTGGAGCGCCAGGAGATCGGGAAAGGGAGCCGGTCATGGGGAAGGGATCGAATGCGGAGAGCATCAGCTCTGCTCATGCACCCGTGGCCGGGTGGAGCAGGAACGAGAGGGGCTAGGCGAGGCTCAAGGGCCCGGCCCCTTTGGGAAGAGGATCGCCCGGCAGCGAGGCAAGAAAGCCGAGGCTCCCCCCGGACTTCTAGGGCTGTTGTGAGCTGAGGGGGCGCTCCTCAAGTGGCAGTCGAGGGGCATTTACAGAGGCGCCTCTGCGCCCCTGGCAAAAAAAAGTGTTCTGCGACCGCTTACTTCGCGTAATGGACGAGCCGCCCCTGCCTACATTTGAACCCAACCTAATGTGATGAACACAGTGGCTTACCACATTTTAAGTGTAGCACTCAGTGGAATTTAGTAAATGTGATGAAGTCATTAAATACACCAAGAATGCTCTATCCTAATCAAGCTAGAGGGCATCTCATTCCACCCTTGTTACTGCAGAAATTCCGCCAACGAGACAGAGAGAAAGAAAGAAGGATGGCAGCCCCACTCAACCCATGCTGGCACAAAGTAATGTGACCCATCTTTCTTTAAATCAGAAGTAAAGGAAACAAGCAACTTACCTAAGCCAAGGGCTGCACCAACAAGCAGTTTGGCTAAGAAAAGAGACATTTTTGTCAATAAAACATTTAAGGTACACCCACATTTACACAAGTGTCTTCCCCTCCACCAGAGGAGGCCCTAGGTAATTTTCAACGGTAAGCGAACAGTATTTTGGCACACCCCCAACCAATCATTGATATATATTTTCTGTTTGTCGTGGGAGTTCTGTGTGCCATATTTGGTTCAATTCCATCATTGGTGGAGTTCAGAATGCTCTTTGATTGTAGGTGAACTATACATCCCAGTAACTACACTTGCCGCACTTGCTCCCTTGCCTGGCCCACTTTGGGTCGGGAGGCGTGCCTGAAGACCCCGGCATGTGCACCAAAAGTCACCTCTTCTCCTGACTTTCTCTTCAGCCATTGGGACCCCTTGGCCCACCCGTGGATTGGGGAGAGGAGAGGAGGCGGGTGGAGCACCAGGGGATCAGGGAAAGGGAGCCGGTCATGGGGAAGGGATCGAACACAGAGAATGATTGAGCGCCGGCTCTGCTCGTGCACCCGGTGGCCGGGTGGAGCAGGAACGAGAGGGGCTAGGCAAGGCTCAAGGGCCCGGCCCCTTTGGGAAGAGGATCGCCCGGCAGTGAGGCAAGAAAGCCGAGGCTCCCCCCGGACTGCTAGGGCTGTTGTGAGCTGAGGGGGCGCTCCTCAAGTGGCGGTCGAGGGGCATTTACAGAGGTGCCTCTGTGCCCCTGGAAAAAAAAAGTATTCTGCGACCGCTTACTTCGCGTAATGGACGAGCCGCCCCTGCCCTCCAAATTCTAGCACAACGTTTCTCAACCTTCCAAATGCCACAAGCCCTTAATACAGTTCCTCATGTTATGCTGATCCCCAATCATCAAATTATTTTCGTTGCCACTTCATAGCTGTAATTTTGCTACTGTTGTGAATTGTAATGTAAATCTATATAAATAAAAATGTAATGTTCGTTTGTGGGATTAACAGAACTCAAAAACCACTGGACAAATTGACACCAACTTTGGACACAAGACACCTAACAACCCAATGTATGTCCTTCAGTAAAAAAAATGATTTTGTCATTTGGGAGTTTTAGTTGCTGGGATGAATAGTTGATCTACAATCAAAGAGCATTCTGAACCCCACCAATGATGGGATTGAACCAAACATGGCACACAGGATTCCCATGACCAACAGAAAACACTAGAAGGGTTTGGTGGGCATTGATCTTGAGTTTGGGAGTTGTAGTTCGCCTACATCCAGAGAGCACTGTGGACTCAAACAATGATGGATCTGGACCAAACTTGGCATTAATATTCCATATGCCCAAATATGAACACAGATGGAGTTTGGGGGGAAATAGAACTTGACATTTGGGATTTGTAGTTACTGGGATTTATAGTTCACCTACAATCAAAGAGCATTCTGAATCCCACAAATGACAGAATTGAGCCAAACTTCCCACACAGAACCCCCAACAGAAAATTCTTAAGGCCATCCAGTCCAACTCTCTTCACCAGGGCAAGAAAACATAATCAAAGCCCTCCTGACAAAGAGCCATCCAGCCATAGGTATAGATAGATAGATAGATAGATAGATAGATAGATAGATAGATAGATATGATTCACACACACACATAGTATCATAGATTTGAAAGCGACCCCTAAAGAAGGACTATGATATGTTGCATGTTCCAGGATGGGCAAACCAGACACTTTCCACATCAACACTGATAAACAACAAGAAATACTGTTTACCCACAAGCATAAAGAAATTACACATATTACAAAGCAACACTTTCTCATTACTTTATTTTCCAGATCACCAGACTGGGCCACAGCAACACGTGGCAGGGGACAGCTAGTATCTGATATGCAGGATGTATTTTCATTCACTGGACCAAATTTGGCACAAATAACCGACATGTCCAAATTTGAATACTGGTGGGGGTTTTTTTGGGGGGGGAGGGGGTGTTGATTTTGTCATTTGGGAGTTGTAGTGCAATCAAAGATCATTCTGAACCCCACCAATGATAGAATTGGGCCAAACTTGGCACACAGAAGCCCCATGACCAACAGAATATACTGTCAAAGGCTTTCATAGCTGGAATCACTGCGTTGTTGTAGGTTTTTTCGGGGCTATATGGCCATGTTCTAGAGGCATCTCTCCTGACGTTTCGCCTGCATCTATGGCAAGCATCCTCAGAGGAACTCTTGTTCCTTCACTACCTCTGAGGATGCTTGCCATAGATGCAGGCGAAACGTCAGGAGAGAATGCCTCTAGAACATGGCCATATAGCCCGAAAAAAAACCTACAACAAGCCAGAAAATACTGCTTTCTGATGGTTTTTGGTGACCCCTCTGACACCCCTTGTGACCCTCCCAGGGGTCCTGACCCCCAGATTTAGAAATGCTGGTTTGGACAATATGTGTATTATGGAAGAAAACAGAAATGAAAAGCACATAGAAACATGATTTCTTATTATGGAAAAAGGATTCAAAAAAGAAACTCACCCATCTTCGTTGCGGTGATCTGAAACAGTTGAGCGAATAAAACCATTAGTAGAATAATGAGAGGACAACAATGGTTTAGCTATCAACAAGAAACACTCCAAAGCAGAACCTTTTTCTTTAATACTGTCACCTTTTGCATATCATACACCTTGATACCTTTTCACAGCAGACCCACTGAAATCAACAGGACTTGAGTCAGTGATGACTGCATATTCCCCAACATCTCAGAGACGAAATCTGAGACATACAAGAGACCTACCTGAAAAGTCCCAGTTTTCAGCTGCAGGAAAGATGCCTAGAGCATTGCCTTTTGGGGCCCTTTGTGTTCTTTTCACAATCTCAACTATCTATGTCACTTACTGGCTACAGAAACATGCAAATATTATTATTATATTATTATAATAATAATGGCACCCAACTCCAAAACTCCAGATGACCTCTCCCAGCGGTTTCATGTAGATGTTAAAAAGCATGGGAGATAAAATAGAGCCTTGCGGGACCCCACAGGTCAAAGGCCAGGGGTCTGAGCAGGCGTCTCCCAGCTTCACCATCTGGGTTCGTCCCTCCAGGAAGGACCGGAGCCACGACAAAACCGTGCCCCCGAGACCCATCCCAGAGAGTCGACCCAGAAGGATACCATGATCGATGGTATCGAAAGCCGCTGAGATGTCCAAGAGGACCAGCAGGGTTACACTCCCCCTGTCCAGTCCTCTACGGAGGTCATCCACCAAGGCGACCAAGGCTGTCTCGGTGCCATGACCAGGCCTGAAACCAGACTGTGCCCGATCCAGGTAATTGATGTCATCCAGGAAGCCCTGGAGCTGGAGGGCGACCACCCGCTCCAGCACCTTACCCAAAAAAGGAAGGTTGGAAATCGGTCTGTAATTGTTCAGCACCGTAGAGTCAAGGGATGACTTTTTTAGGAGTGGGCGAACCACAGCCTGTTTCAAGTTAGATGGAAAAATCCCTTGCTCCAACGATGCGTTAATGATCAACACAAACCAATCAACCAACCCCTCCTTGGCAGATTTAATGAGCCAGGATGGGCAAGGGTCTAGAGCCGAAGTGGTCGCCCTCACAGCCCCAAGAACCTCCTCCACGGTCTCAGGAAGAACAAGCCGAAAAGAATCCCACAAAATTGGACAAGCAGATGCCTCAGTCACCTCTGGCACTGCGATGAAATTGGAGTCGAGCTCAAGACGTATCTGGGCAACCTTGCCTGCAAAATGGTGTGCGAAATCGCAACACCGAGCTGCTGGGTCGTCAGAGATCTCGTCCACCACAGGTGGGTGAAGGAGCTCCCCGACAACCCGAAACAGCTCTGATGACCTATTTGCTGCAGACGCTATCCGGGCGGTCGTGAAAGATTCCCTGGCCGCCCGTATAGCCACGGAGTATGCCTTAAGAGAGGCCTTAGCCCGTGCTTGATCAGACACATCCCGAGATTTCCTCCACTTGCGCTCTAGCCCCCTTCTCGTGTGCTTCATCGCAGCCAACTCCTCGGTAAACCAAGGAGACGGCCTGTCATGACGCAACGAGACGGGGCGTTCGGGAGCGATCGTGTCTATCGCCCTGGACATCTCCCTATTGTAAAGGTCGACCAAGGCGTCAACAGGATCGCCAGGTTCCATGGCAGGAAGAACCCCAAGATTCCTCAGGAATCCATCTGGATCCATCAGTCTCCTGGGGCAGACCATCTTAATTTGTCCTCCACCCCTGCGAAGGTTGGGGGTCGCAGCGAGCCTAAAGCTGACCAGATAGTGATCAGACCATGACACTGGAAGGATGTTTTGTTCTTCCATTCTGATCATTCCACTGTCCGCCACAAATCTTCCCAAACAAAGACTCGCTCTCAGCTACAATTAAACTTCCAATTCCTCAGACTCTAGATCTAGGTTCCTGGGGCTAAAGAAGGGTCTCTGGGTCAACTAGCCATGCGATCCCATGCTGAAGTATGTGCTGAGCACACAGAACCACCGATAGTCTTGGAAACACTTACCCATCTAGCCTCAGGCTTTCCCTACTGAAAGTTATGTCTTACCTTCCTTCGAAGAGAGCACTTGCAAGTGTGTGTTTGTGCATGCGTGCATATATATGTGCATGTGCTATTTCCTTTTAGAGATCTGCTGGGTAGGTGGGGCTATGAACAAACAGAAAGGATGAGTCAATGTTTCCATTGAGTCCACTCAGCATCTCTGCCAAGGTTGACTCCCCGAAAAATGAGGAAGGGCAGGAGATATTAAACTGGAATGTTGTCGAGCCACAATTACCTCCCCCCACCAAATATCTATAGTTCACCAAATTATTATTATTATTATTATTATTATTATTATTATTATTATTATTCAGTTCTTGTGGGTTTTTTTGGGCTATATGGCCATGTTCTAGAGGCATTTCTCCTGATGTTTCACCTGCATCTATGGCAAGCATCCTCAGAGGATGCTTGCCATAGATGCAGGCGAAACATCAGTAGAAATGCCTCTAGAACATGGCCATATAGCCCAAAAAAACCCACAAGAACTGAGTGATTCCAGCCATGAAAGCCTTCAACAATACATTATTATTATTATTTTTGAACGTTTGGTAGTCCGAAACATCAGAGATGGGGATGGATGGGCGGCAGCTTCACTCCCTCAAAGACTGTATCATTTCTAACCCTTTCATAAATTGTATCTGCTTTCCTTGATTTTCTGTGTAACTTGTATCTTTTGGTGTACTGTGTCTACTTCTTATATAAAAATGTATAGAATTCTTTATAAAATGTAACAAGATGTAGCCCAGAGACAGCCACCTTTCCATAACCGGGCTGAAGTAGTTCCGTGACAACAAGAAAGTTGGGCAAATCCTTCTGGCTGTTTCCCAAGCCAAGGTGGGTCCAGATCAGGAGTGGGCAAAGTGTGACTTTGGGGCTGGATGTATTCTACCCCAGGTGCCGTTTTGGGAGCCCTGCAGGACCAAATTTTTACATTTATTTTTATTATTAACAATTATTTAAGAGACTAACTGTCCCCTGCCACGCATTGCTGTGGCCCAGTCTGGTGATCTGGAAAATAAAGTAATGAGAAAGTGTTGGTTTCTAATATATGTAATTCCTTTATGCTTGTGAGTAAACAGTATTTCTTGTTGTTTCTTTGTCAGTGTTGATGTGGAGAGTGTCTGGTTTGTGTACTCTGGAATATGCAACATATCATAGTCCTTCTTTAAGGGTCTCTTTCAAATCTGTGATACTATATATATGTGTGTGTGAGAGAGAGAATCATATCTATCTATCTATATTTATGACTGGATGGCTCTTTGTCAGGAGGGCTCTGATTACATTTTCTTGCCCTGGTGAAGAGAGTTGGACTGGATGGCCTTAAGTATTTTCTGTTGGTCATGGGGGTTCTGTGTGGGAAGTTTGCCCCATTTCTGTATTTTGTGGGTTTCAGAATGCTCTTAATTGTAGTGAACTATAAATCCCAGTAACTACAAATCCCAAATGTCAAGGTCTATTTCCTCCAAACTCAATCTGTGTTCATATTTGGGCATATGGAATATTTTTGTCAAGTTTGGTCCAGATCCATCATTGTTTGAGTCCACAGTGCTCTCTGGATGTAGGTGAACTACAACTCCCAAACTCAAGGTCAATGCCCACCAGACCCTTCCAGTATTTTCTGTTGCTCATGGGAGTTCTGTGTGTCAAGTTTGGTCCAATTCCATCATTGGTCAAGTTCAGAATGCTCTTTGATTGTAGGTGAACTATAAATCCCAGCAACTACAACTCCCAAATGACAAAATCAATCCCCTCCCAACCCCACCAGTATTCAAATTTGGGCGTATCGGGTATTTGTGCCAAAATTGTGCCAAAATCAAAGTAGTTTTTATATGGCAGTGTACAAAGGGCCTCTGAGGAATCTGAAGGGCAATCGTAGCTAGGAGCAGATATTTCCTTGTCCCAGAAAGGCAGACATGACCTGGAGATGTGACAATATTAAAGAAACAGTTTCTGCTTTAGAATATTTCTTGTTGATAGCTAAACCATTGTCGTTCTCTTTCTTCTTATTTTACCAACAATTTGATTCGTTCCACTGTTTCACAACATCGCAGCCAAGATGGGTGAGTTTCTCATTTGAATCCTGTTTCCATCATAAAAATGCATTCGTTTCTATGTACTTTTCATTTCTGTTTTCTTCCATAATAATAATAATAATAATAATAATAATAATAATAATAATAATTTATTTATACCCCACTACCATCTCCCCAAGGGACTCTGTGCGGCTGGAACAACCATGTTTTCAGGCTCCTCCTAAAGACTGCCAGAGTTGGGGCATGTCTGATGTGCCTGGGAAGTGAGTTCCAGAGTCAAGGGGCCACCACCGAGAAGGCCCTCTCCCTCGTCCCCACCAATCGCGCCTGCAAAGGAGGTGGGAGCGTGAGCAGGGCCTCTCCAGATGATCAAAGCGATCATGTGGGTTCGTACACAGAAATGCGGTCACGCAGATAGGCGGGTCCCAAACCATTCAGGGCTTTGTAGGTAAGAACCTGCACCTTGAGTTGGGACCGGAAAATGAGTGGCAGCCAATGGAGCTCCTCAAACAGGAGGGTTGACCACTCCCTGTAAGGAGCCCCAGTTAGCAACCTGGCCGCCGCCTGTTGGACCAATTGAAATTTCCAGGCCGTTTTCAAGGGCAGCCCCACGTAGAGTGCATTACAGTAGTGCAATCCAAATAATAATCATCATCACCATCATCTTTATTTATACCCTGCCACCATCTCCCCCAACGGGGACTCGGGGCGGCTTACATGAGGCCAAGCCCGAAAAACAGATTACAAAAAAATAAGATACAAATTGCAATAAAATAAACAACATAACATTAAAGTATAAAACATATAAGTCCTGTATGCCATGTTTGGTTCAATTCCATCATTGGTGGAGTTCAGAATGCTCTTTGATTGTAGGTGAACTATATATCCCAGTAAGTACAAATCCCAAATGTCAAGGTCTATTTCCTCCAAACTCCATCTGTGTTCATATTTGGGCATATGGAATATTTGTGCCAAGTTTGGTCCAGATCCGTCATTGTTTGAGTCCACAGTGCTCTCTGGATGTGGGTGAACTACAATTCCCAAACTCAAGGTCAGTGTCCACCAAACCCTTCCAGTTTTTTCTGTTGGTCATGGGAGCCCTGTGTGCTAAGTTTGGCCCAATTCCATCATTGGTGGAGTTCAGAATGCTCTTTGATTGTAGATAAACTATAAATCCCAGCAACGACAATTCCCAAATGACAAAATCAATTTTTTTGAGTGGAGGACATACATTGGACTGTTAGGTGTCTTGTGTCCAAATTTGGTGTCAATTCCCCCAGAGGTTTTTGAATTCTGATGGTATCACAAACGAACATTACATTTTTATTTATATAGATTGCTTTGCTCCAGAATGCCCCCAAATGTACTATATGACTATGTGTAACACATTCTTATCTTATCTCCCTTCAGTGAGCAGCCAGGCATTATTTCCTGGAGTATTAACTGATTGGATCTTCTTGCGTTCCTTCTTGCGCACTCTCCGAATTTTCCTCCAGCACCACAGTTCAAAAGCGTCTCCCTTCCTTCACTCAGCCTTCCTTATGGTCCAGCTCTCACATCCATAGGTTATTACAGGGAATACCATTGCTTTAACTATGCAGACCTTCATTGCCATTGTGATATGTGTAGCACATTCTTATCTTCTGCAATGGTTAAGGCATCCCTACAAAGTGCAATATATGGGTCTGTGGCACTGTAGAATGTGTGGGTCCTAAGACACCCTTGCATGTTTATATATGCAAACACAGAAATGAAAATAATAATAATTTTGACAACATGATTAGTATAAACAAGATGACTACTTGTTTGGATAAGTGTATCTCACATTATCTGTTCTTTGGGATGTCATCATCATAGAATCATAGAATCATAGAATCAAAGAGTTGGAAGAGACCTCATGGGCCATCCAGTCCAACCCCCTGCCAAGAAGCAGGAATATTGCATTCAAATCACCCCTGACAGATGGCCATCCAGCCTCTGTTTAAAAGCTTCCAAAGAAGGAACCTCCACCACACTCTGGGGCAGAGAGTTCCACTGCTGAACGGCTCTCACAGTCAGGAAGTTCTTCCTAATGTTCAGATGGAATCTCCTCTCTTGTAGTTTGAAGCCATTGTTCGTGTCCTAGTCTCCAGGGAAGCAGAAAACAAGCTTGCTCCCTCCTCCCTGTGGCTTCCTCTCACATATTTATACATGGCTATCATATCTCCTCTCAGCCTCTCTTCTTCAGCCTAAACATGCCTAGCTCCTTAAGCCGCTCCTCATAGGGCTTGTTCTCCAGACCCTTGATCATTTTAGTCGCCCTCCTCTGGACACATTCCAGCTTGTCAATATCTCTCTTGAATTGTGGTGCCCAGAATTGGACACAATATTCCAGGTGTCGTCTAACCAAAGCAGAATAGAGGGGTAGCATTACTTCCCTAGATCTAGACACTATGCTCCTATTGATGCAGGCCAAAATCCCATTGGCTTTTTTTGCCGCCACATCACATTGTTGGCTCATGTTTAACTTGTTGTCCACAAGGACTCCAAGATCTTTTTCACACGTACTGCTCTCGAGCCAGGCACCCCCCATTCTGTATCTTTGCATTTCGTTTTTCCTGCCAAAGTGGAGTATCTTGCATTTGTCACTGTTGAACTTCATTTTGTTAGCTTTGGCCCATATCTCTAGTCTGTCAAGATTGTTTTGAATCCTGTTCCTGTCCTCTGGAGTATTGGCTATCCCTCCCAATTTGGTGTCGTCTGCAAACTTGATGATCCTGCCTTATCTAGAAAGAACTTATCTAGAAAGTGGTCTGCTCAGCAGGGTTGTGTTCCAGAGCCTGGGAAAGTTACTTATTTTGGACAACCAAGTCCCAGGATTTCACTGGCCATGCCAGCTGGGAATTCCTCCCTAGTAAGAGTGGTATTTATAGTTCCAACTAGTATTAGTGAAATGGCAGGGAGAAAGTTTGAGGAAAAGAGACAAAGAGTTCCTGAGGTCTGAAAAAGCACGGTTTATTCTTGGTTGGCGCCAAC